CCTGAGGGGTCCTAGACTGCGAGAGGGCACAGGCCGGGCTGAGGGGACCCCCCCCCCGAGTGCACAAATTTTTGTGTACCGGGCCTCTAGTATATATATAAAAATCCAGCGACTGTAACACCGTAATAACCGGAACGACCGGTTGCTATGATGCCCACTGTGCCCAGTGAACTGGCCTAATCAGGGGGTGGGGCCATCCAGCCAACCTCCCGCGGACCCTCCCCATGTCCAGCCCACCCCTGATCGGACTCTCCCACCCTGATCAAGGGCAGGGCCAGCCAGCCAAATGCACCCCCTCTTCCCCTCAGCCAACCCCACCCCTGATCGGCCTGTCCAACCATGATAGGACTGCAGCCCCTCCCCCCATCCGGCCCCACCCCTAATCGCACCCCCCATCCCAATAGGGGGCGGGGCCAGCCAGCCAACCTCTTGCAGCCCCTCCCCCTGCCTGGCCCCATCCCCAGATCGGTCTCCCCAACCTGAGCAGGGGCAGGGTAGGCCGACCAACCACCCATGGCCCCTCCCCCAGGCTGCTGGCCCCCGATCGGCACCCTCGCACCCCTTTCAGGGGTGGGGCCAGCTGGCCCACCACATACAGCCCCTTCCCATGGCTGACCCCTCTCCCAATCAGCCTCCCAACCCCAATCAGGGGCACGGCCTGCCAGCCAATTGCCCACGGCCCCTCCTCCCAATCCTAATCATGGCTGGGCCAGCCAGACCCCACCCATGCACGAATTTGTGCACTGGGCCTCTAGTTAGAATATAAGCTCCATGTCTGTATTACTCAACATAATATCGAGTAACTGTGAACCTGGTACAAGGCTGGGCACTTAGTATTTGTTGAAAGAATCTCAGAATAAAAGGTATTTCCTTAAATTAAGTAACACAGTATGGTAAAATAAATGCACCCATTACTTTGTTGTTCTCTTATTATCACAAACTCATGCAAACTTTTTTACCTGAACAGTTTGGAGAGGAAAGAGTACTAAACTAGGTTATGGGTTCTAATCCCAAAACTATAATTTTTAACCTTTATCTCAGGCACCTGTAAAATGGGGGTGATAGGAGTACTCATCTAGTTCATGTTAAGAGCTTACACATAGCCCTAGCCCGTTTGGCTCAGTGGAAAGAGTGTCGGCCTGTGGATTGAAAGGTCCTGGGTTCGATTTTGGTCAAGGGCACATGCCCAGGTTTCAAGCTCGATCCCCAATAGAAGGCAGCCGATCAATGATTCTCTCTCATCATTGATGTTCCTATCTCTTCTTCCCTCTCCCTTCCTCTCTGAAATCAATAAAAATATATTTTTAAAAAAGAGCTTACACACTTTGTGAAAAACATAAACCAATATATAAGTACAATTATTAATGTTTTTTCCCATAAGAAGTGATTGCTAATGTTCTATGTCAAATGTTACTGAAATTAGTTTTATAACTTTTCCCCCAGCTACACAGCCCATAAACTATGCACATTACTAAAATCTTACTCATTCAATAAACATTTCTGTGTACCAACTGGTCCCACTCTGAAGCTCATTTTAGAAAGTCAGTATTTACATAACTTCCTCTGGAAGGATTTACTGGTTCTAGGAAAGGTATGTAATATATGAGATATAGAGTCATAAAATTACCTACTTCCCTCACTGATGAAAGCATAAAAAAGCAAAATGGGTCCAAGTGAGTTTGTAGAAGGCTGACTGACCAGCTCTAAACATGAGATTTTCAACTAAATCTAGAAAGAAGAGCCTTTGTGTTCTTTGTCAATAGCAAGCTGCAGCTTGGATTTTCACAAGTATTTTGGAAACAGTAATGGGTAAGTACTTTTCCAAAGGCTAGATTTCCAAAAGCTAGGTGTTAACAGATAGGAGAGGGAGGCTACGGCCCTTGCACACTCCAAAGGCAAGATATTTAAACACCAGGTATCACTCTGACAACAACTTACCCTTTACCTTAACTCTATTTCTTGGGAAAGTATTCAAGGAGAAATAGGTCAGAAATCAGTCTATTATTACCACTGTCTTTTTATGGTTCTTTTCCACCTTCAATGGTTACTACAGAAACAACTATACCAGAACTGGGTCAATTTGAGAGGTATAAATACATAGTTGCTGAAACTCAGAGGAATGGCAACCTGACAATGCCCCTTCCTATTGCCTCTGTCACTAACAACCCTATTTTCCACTTTTCCCACAGACCCCTATGAAAACACACATGGCAGCCCTGAGAATAAGACTACACTTGTCCAGCCACCTTCTCTCTCTAAAATCAATAAAAACATGTCCTTGGGTGAATATTAAAAAATTTTTAAAAGATGGGAGAATTTGG